AGATAAGCTCCCGTATGGAGGATGAGGGTATCGAGCCAAAGTTTGATGATATCCTGAAACTGGTAAATACTAGTGTCAATCAATCTATGAGCAAGTTCGCCAGTCTATTAGATCTCACCCCTAGAATAGAGCAGTCTGAGATCAAAATGCAATCATTGATGACGAGTAGGCCTCAGAGAGGTGGATATCGAGAAGCTCCATGATGTCTAGTAATGCATATAGACCTAGTGAGTGTAACAGGTTTCGTAGTACATCCTCAACAGATAAGTTACAAGATGCAAGACAAACACGGTTGTGTTTACACGTGTGCAAGAGGTGCATACAGAAGTGAACTGTGAACCAGTGAGCAAGTTCAGTGATAAGCTAAATGTAAACTCCAGGTCTGACTCCGAATTGTGTGACGATAACGGTGTTGTGAAGAAGTCTGTAGTTGCAACTGGTAAGCCGTTGTTGAATAGAGTGTCACAGAATAGAGTTACTGCTTCAGAGTGGAGTTCTGACTCCACAAGTTTACAAAGTATATCTAGTCAGAGTGAAGATATAAAACCTTTAATGATTTGCGAGGAGGAACCAAAATTGTCTACTTCTGTTATTAAAGAGTTTGAAAATGATGAACTTGACGGTAAATTGAATATTTGTGGTAATGATCATGATAGTGCAGATTTGTCTTTGGTTGATCATTATGAGATGAGGGATATGCCTACTACTGCTAAGTTAAATAAAGGTTCTGTACAACTACAACGTGAAGTAGAATTGAACGCAGATGCAGTTCCAGAAGGTGTGCATACTTGTGAGACAGTCAGTGTAATTGATCAGCGTGTAGCCCACCTATCATCAGATGATAGTGCTAAACCCGAACTAGTAGTGAAAGACAGCAGTGGTGGTAATCTTGCAGTTGGACAACTATCTGAAAGCCGAAAAAGAACAGCTTCTGATCCACCGCTAAGTTCATCACCTTGTGTCACTCAGTCATCGTTGGTGTTTTCATCCACAATGAAACAGATGCCCATCAACTCAAGTATCTTGTGCAATGACTATGGTAGTATCAGTTCGTTTGAAAGGACGAATATCAATGGTCAGTTTAGTGTGGATAAGCCAAGTGTAAAGGAGAGAGTTATTGTTAAATTGACTTGCACGAATAAAGGCATTTCTAGTTTCAAGTTACTATTTGAATGTTATTATCTTTGGTGTAAATTACTCTGTTTCTATACTTGGTTGATGAGATATGTCGTGTGTTTGTTGGTCATCTATATTCTACGATACAATGACATGGGCGTGTTGCCGTTCAGATTTGAGGATATAGCTGATAGAAGGAAGTTAGCAAATGAACTCTGCGACGATTTTCCAACCTAGGGCGTCAACCTGAGAAGGGTTGTAGGCGTACTGGTGTAAGTCCTACAGTTCTTCAAAGGGTAGCGCATCAATGAGCAGTCCAATGTGCTTGGTGTATGATCTTGTACATATGTTCATATTGTATATACTGAATTGATATCATCTGTCATCTAGCTGTTGGTAATTCTGTTTGTGTCCGGACGACTTCCACTTGGATCATCAACCTGAGAAGGAATGTAGGCGTACTGCTGTAAGTCCTACAGTTCTTCAAGGGTAGTTTGTCGTGTCAGAATCCACAACATTTGATGTGTTGATTGTACATATGTTTGTGTTAAATAGTTGTGTGAGTTCCAATTGATGTAATTGTTGGTTAATCTTGTTTGTGTCTGGACATTCCACAACTTACAATCGTCAACCTGTGAAGGGTTGCAGGCGTACTGGTGTAAGTCCTGCAATTCTTCAAAATAATTCCACCAAGACATGATCCGCGAGGTTATTTGTACTGTTTGTGTATACGTGTGGTGTGTCTTCGCAATTTGTGATTTTGGATCAGTTGTGTTTACTCGTTGTTTTCGTGCCTTGTTTTTATTGCATAATTTTGTTAAAATTTTCGTCGTGATTACTTCTGAAGTTGTTTCGAGTCTTCTACATCCGTGAATGAATTGATTGATGTTAGAGACAGCAGATGGGTCGTATACGCCGGGGAGGCTAGGCTATTGCTGAGAATGAAATGCACACGGAGATAATTGTTAGCTGCGGTCCGACACGCCGGGGAGAAAGAGTGTAAACGACTGAGGCTCGCATGCGTCACCGCTACTAGAACTGAGGCAGAATGAGTGACAAGCGATTTCAGTGGTAATTGGTAGTGAATAGAAAAGAGGATGCTTGTAGAGTATCATGAGGTGGTGCTATGGTCACGTTGCATTCTGCAAGAGTCATTCTAGCAAGTGGCGATTGTGTTGCAAGATGTCAAGAGGAGGTCTCTGTCTGGAGGCGCAGGTCGTCATTGATGTGTGAGATTGTGCTGTGGGTATGCTTGTGGTGTGTTGGCTTTTCTGTTTGTTTTCCATTTCAGCTCTGTCCGTGTGACCCAGGTTCTCGCAATGGCATCCAAGTCAACGTGCATTGGTCGTGAAGGAAAAAAGGGTTGGATCCCTTTTTTGCCGGGGAGTGTCAATGGAGTTGAAGATTGAACGATCAATTCTTGGTTGTTTGCTCAAAATCAACTTCCTCGATTTTCGCGGAGGCATCAATACGACAGTCATCGTCTCATCGGTCGCTGTTCAGAAAGAAGACTGAAACATCGTCAGAAGTAACAACGATTTATTATTGTAATATTTGTTTACAGACCTTAGTTTGCTTAGTTCGCTTATTCCTTTTATATGTTGGTGTAACAATACAGAAATATCAAACGGCAGATCGGTGTTTTGGTTTTTGCGTCCGTTATAACTAAGCGTTTCTGAGAAATCTTCTAAGAACAGCGTGGGCCCGAGCGTAGCGAGAGCTGGGCATTAACGGTTTATGAGACTTGACTGACAACATATAAGACTGTCATGATAATTTAGTACACTAAGTCCTGCCAGCCGACCATACCCTCAGTTCATACTACCTACATCGAACCCTAACTACAGTGTTCTACTGAATCTTCCTCCACTATTCACAAAACCTATTCTTTTTAGTCTTTGAGTTTTTAACTTCTTACAAAGTAATGTGTTCATTAGGACGCATGCATACATACATAGTATGTTCATAAAGATGTACGTGGAGACCGATTTGAAGCGCTCATTAAGAAAGCTAGGGAGATGGAATATGAGGTACGAACATGTCTGGTACCAAGCAATATATTTGCGGTAGTCATAATAATCATAGCCTCAGAGCCTAGCATCAAAAAAGAGGGAGGGTGGCACTAGATGATCAGTAGATATGGTGGCGGTCACTAAGGTGAATCGCCCCATTCTGCAGGAACAGCAATACGCGATTTGACGGCTCAAGATTTTTCTGATTTTTATGAGGGCCAAGATCTTTATCTTGAAAAAGATAATAATGAACGTTTAGACAGATCATGCTTCTGCCCTTAAACATATACCATTCGGTCAGCCTATTGTTGAGATGCGACCAAGTGGGCTCTGCACAGATTTATGGGGCATCTTATAAATTAACTTCCCATCCATTGTCGGATGTTTAAATACCACTTCACAATGTCTTATTCATTTTCTAATGATGTCTTTACTTGGTCCTCATTATATTTCATCAAACCTAACATTTTATAGATTTTATGAATTTGATTCGACTTATTCTATTCCTATTCTCTGTAGGATACGGTTGTGCACCAAATAGACAGGGTAGGAAATAAAAACGACTGGCTTCAAAATAATTGTATTAAAGCCAGTAGTGAACATCATGGTAGTGAGACATATATAGGTAGCATTATACATTGCAAATGAACGTTGTCGGCCTAGGGATTAATTACTTTCCCATTCTATTTCCTACATAAATGTTTTTATTAATGATGTATTGCACTTACTTATTTCATTACACTTTAATGATTCACCTTAGCACTTTAACTTTTCTAAAACAGCTTTCAATCCCTTGTAAACGTAGTAAATACCTCAATATTGGTAGGTTATCGTATGCCTGCAGCCACGGGATGAAAACGAAACGAAGTCGATTTTCCCGCGAAACCTGGAGGATAACTATACGGCCTGGTTCAGACAATGAGTGTATATATATATATATATATATATATATATATATCAAATATTTAACTGTTGAAAGCCGATATCAGCTTTTGCTCGTCGAGTAGTCAGTGACACTGATGTTCACCCACAGGGCATGAGGTAAACGACACTCATTGAGGGACTGCAAAGAACATTTCTGATAGGAACATTTCCAGTGTTTTTATGCTGTCAGATAAGTAATGCTCACACCATGATTGCTTGATAAATCATTTCCCAGTAGCCTCTGCCCATCCGAGTTGTAAGGGTCTGTTCAAAGGACGCAGTACGTACTACTCAAAGATTTACTAAGGATTTACTGAAGGGACTACCGTTGAAAAAAGCTTACACAAGTGACCTTTTATTAGCTAGCCTGGAGATTGGCAGTCACAAAGACTACACGAGATCAGAATGAAACGACAAGCAGTTAATCAAACCAAACTTCTCTTCAGATCAGGAACGCAGTAGATTACCTTATATACCCTGATGTTTGAAATAATAGCATGGAGTGCGAGGCACACAGCCTCCAGAACCTAGCAAACTGGGAATCAAGTAGTCGTCTGGACCAAATTGTTGAGTGATGAAAAATGAGTAAATTTGAGTAGTAATACATGGAAACATGTTAACTATTGCTTATTCAAAAGGGAATTCCTGATATTTTTATCAGCATTTATCCAGAAAAAAGAAGGATGGCATCAGTATTTTATGCAGTCAGAGACTATTGGTATGTCACATACAAAGAATTTATAGATAGTTTACAGTCAGCAGTTAAGGTTTTTTGGTCTACCTCACCTGTATAAAGTTAAATGGCAGAAAACTGTTGTTAATGAGAATTCCGAAAACAAACTACTGACTCGCCGTGATCTGTTGATTTCCTGCAGTGATTTCCATTCTCTGAAAATTCATGTTTTTTTACAAACTAAGGTTTTGTTTATATATGCTGCAAAATTCGGTGCGCTCAGTTGGGCTGTGCTTCAGCGCTGCTTACAAATATTGCGTTACCATGTCCTATCCCACTTTTAATGTAGGTCGTAAACGTAGTCGACCTGAAGATTGGAGTGAAGCTGGTCCTTCGCCAGTTATCCATATTCGTGGACTACCAAGAAATAGCGTTGAATATGATATTGTTAAGTCATTCGAGTCATATGGGCGCATACGGGATGTAACAATGATTCCCCAGAAAAACCAGGCTTTAGTAGAATTTGAAGACCAGGCATCTGCGGAAGGACTGATCAATACGTAAGTCTGTCCATTTTGGTAATATGCACGTGTGATGCTGTGAAGACTGGCTGTGCCCTTCGTAGAATTTTTTTAACACAAGTGAAATGCATAAGCATATTTCGGGCGTTGGTGGCACAGTGGTTAGGACTCTCGCCAACCATGCACATGGTCCGGGGTTCGAGCCCACACCGACGCACACCTGATATCTATGGTCGGCCTGGGAAATTTGGGCTACCGATATCCATGCTGAAAATTCCATACCTGTACCAAAAATAAGGTGTGGAATCAAGCTGTAATCAAAAATAAAATAAAATCGGGAGACTTCCGAATGTTCATAATCTGCTCGATGACTTCCTTGAAATTCAGATTCTAACTGAATGCATTCGGAAAGGATTTATTGTTTGTCATGTGGATTTTTAAGTTTTTGTTGAATAAAAGGAGCAGTTCAAGTTACTTGTCTACTTATTGTCAAATTTTATAGAAATCTTGTTCTGCGAAACGAAGCAACTGTTGTGCTTATTGTATCATTGCGATTTTTCGACAGGAAATCCACGGGAAGATTATACCAATGATTTTTTTACATGTTGCTCTAGACACGGCTTTTTTTAGTTAGAGTTATACGAAAGCAGCTTTAAGAACTAAACCAAAGTGCATCGGAGAATTTTTATTTCTTATTTTGGTGTATCTCTTACTGACGTTTCACTTGCTCGGGGTCTTCGAAAGCAGATTTGAAAACATGGTTTAGTGCCACGTTACCCCAGTTTCAGTAAGTCGTTACGTACTTGTTACCTCACTGATGTGTTTCAGTCCTTGCAATTGACTGTCTCAACCTGGCTTTAAGGATATTGTCAGGGAGTACGCAAGCGGATGGTTGTCGCCAACTTACAATCCAGTTTGGCAAGTGCGTTTCAAGTTTCAAACGCCATCGTGTCTTCTCAAAATAGGTGGGGGGGGGTTGAGAAATGTCTCTCAGGTCAGAGTTCCTTAGCAGAAAAAAGTTCATCTATTCCTCAGATAACACCTTATTGCTGATCGGAAACGCCTGCTTCATTGGTGTCCTTGGTTTCACAAGGTCACACGACATCTGTAGGCAGTAGCAACTCCACTTTCTGTCTTAGCGTACTTCTAATTTATCTGACATTTTGCTTCAGTTGAAACAGTGTCTCAGCATTCTTCTTTTCTGTCGAGTTCCACACTATCCATAAGCACTAATTCCCTAACTAGTGGCTTACACGACAACTCATTTTTACTGACTGCATCGCTTCACATAATACGAGAAATTGAACGGGGACTTCTGTGGTCAAAAACCGCAGATGTTTTCATGTATCCAACTTTCTACGACTGTCTTAGCTGTGGAGTGGAAGGCCTAACATATCCAGTCTTCCTTAACGACAGCGGTTAGGATTGCTGCTAAAAATTGCTAAAGGTGAAGTAAGGAGTTCTTGGTGGCCTCGGAAAGCGATAAAGGACGAAAGTTATTCTGAAAAGTCCTCGCAAAGACTGCGATTAGTGGAGATGAAAAAGCCACCAGCTTCGAGTAATACAGATCAGTTATTTGGACTCACACGGGAAACTAGTGCTAAAAAAGTTACGGCAAGTGTAGGTTTCTCAAGAAAGTCTGGAATGCATTTCCTATAAACATTGGTGACGGTACTTCGTGGAGTAGTTCCAGGTGCCTTCAGTACCACTTCAACAATGTGAGTATATTTGGTCATTAATATGGTAACCGACATTACTGGTATAATGTGTAAGGTTGAACATATTTTAAATTTCAGGTGTGCAATCCAAAGAAGTACTGTTTTGGAATAAAGAATGAACCCTACATCAGACTCCGCATCTTAGTTAGTTATGCTTTCGAAATTATGTTTTAGGAGTGTTCTCGGCTTCAAATCTCGTCCGACTAGGTAGGATTATTAACGTTCTCATAGGTTCTGGTTTTTTGCGGTAATTGGGCTGCATATTAAAGACTAAGCTTATATATATATTGTGCGGTGTCATTACAGCAGTAAACGATAGTATTCGGTTTTAGCTGTTGGTTGAATTTGCAGTATTTCGTCATCACATCTTGGTAGTCGACAATGCACTATTTACAACATACGTAGTATTTTGACACTTGGATTAGTTTCCATTTGCTGTAGAACAATTCTTAGTATGCGTTTTAAACCATAATATCGGGATAGCTGAAACTCCCCTACCGTTTGAGGCTTAACAACATCTGAATGCCTAAGTAGTTGTAGCTGAGTTCCGACTCACGATTAACTGACTGAAAACCAAGTGTATAGTTGAGTGACTCTCAATCCCACAGTTGGCGTGTTACAAACCGTAATTATTTAACCTGCATGTTTTTCTTGCACGATGCATTTGTCTGAACTCATATAAACCAGAGTGAAGCTAATGGTTTTAAACGTTCTCGCAATTCGGAACTTACAAATTCAGTTTTGTTCACCAAGATTCAAACTGAACAGAAAGTTCAATTAATTTTTAAGAATCGTACCTATTTAAGCATGTACGATACTCCCATATCATGAATTGAAACACAATTTATTGAGAAAAATATTCTTCGTTCAGATTGACTTTTAGTTATTTGCAGCGCTGCATATATGTAAGAAAAGCATATTTTTAGCGTAATATTTTTCTGAATTAATTGTATTTAGAAAGAGTGAAATGCGAGTTCTTAATAGCTTGGTTCAAGTGGCTTTCAGTACTTCAAAACACATAGTTCAGCGTGCTGCAAACAGAGCTCCACCAGATGAAAAAAACTCACTTTCTTCAGATAATCATATCCTTCTGTTCACAATTTTTAATGCCGAACGTCCTGTAACTGTCGAAACAATTCATCGCATAACATCCTGTCATGGTCGTGTTCTTCGGATAGTAATCTTTCGCAAATCTCAGGTGCAAGTAAGTCTTAATTTGAAGGTCATCTTTTTATTTTAGGCTATGGTGGAATTCGCAAGCGTACAAGAGGCACGCAATGCAAAACTTCATTTGAATGGTGCAGATATATATCCAGGGTGTTGTACATTAAAGGTAGACTATGCTCGCCCGACCAGACTATCAATATCCAGAAACGACCAAGACAACTGGGATTTCGAAATTTGTGCATCACAGGCAAACTACTTTCAGCAAGATCCTCAGTATCAGAACTCTCTTCTAGGTAAGCTATTGAGGGTTTGTGATTTTCCTCTATAGGTTTCTCGGATGTACCGTACAATAGTTATGATGGCTATGGGCAGCCATCATTTGAAAATCAAAATGATTATATGCAACCTTATATTTCGCCATACAGAGAACCATCTATCCTATCGCATAACATGTCCTATGCGGCTGAAGATAATAGAAATCGAAATCTTAATTGTACTCGAGTTGTTATGCTGTACAACATTGACACGCAGAAAATGAACTGTGATCGGTTAGTTTGTTTCGCGTAAAATTCACCATTTTTATTGATTCAGTTTCATGAACATGTTTATTAGGTTTGACTATCTGTACTATTCATAAGCCTTTTGAATGGTCAATTAATTGGAATATGACTAACCATTATATATCAAATATTGCTTCATGGAAAGTTGGTGAAAAACCTCATAGAGCCGTGATTTTTTCGTGTCAAGCATTTTGCCCTCTTGCTTACCAACTTCACTGATGTGAAAGTCAGGTATTCCGGTTAACGTTTGAGTGTGTTAACCCGGGTATTGGGTACTGAAGTCTGTTCAGATTTAAATTTGGCTTTTGTCATCCACCATATCTTTTTCCAACGTATGATGCTTGATGAAATGTACTGAAAAAAATCGGTTTCTAAAAGGTTCGAGAAAACTATCCGGAATTTTCTCTAAATTTTTCAGTGTTTCTATTCATATATCTGTCTAGTAACAAGGATATACGATAGTTTTCAAACGTATTCGGAAATACGTAGTGAATTTGTTGTTTTAATTCATGATTTTTGAAATTTTTTCAGCAGTGTGAATAATTCGATGTTTGTTGTGGCTTCCAATTATAGTCTTTCAGACACCAGTTTGACCTTTAAAGTCTCCCCATAGCTATGGTACGATTCATAATGGTGGTTACATTCACATGACTGCTCACTAAGCTTTTGATTACATTTTATTGTTTAAATACTGTACTTTGTTGTCGTGATGAAATGTTGATTACGGTTTATGCATGTGAAATATATCATTCATGATCATGTAGCCTACTACGGGCAAAACAACCAAAGATCGTGTATTTGAAAAGGGATGCTTTGACAGAGTCTGCTTGTATTCTTTTTTAAATCAAATATACATACTTTGTGTCTTCTCTTTATATTTACTCACTAGTTGAGGGTTACGAAGAAGTGAATTAGATAGTTGTATTTGTCTGGAACTCCTGCTGGAAATACTCAACCACAAGTGAAACTTTTGATTACTGATTTCATGAAGTATGATATGCGCAGGTTATTTCACACCCACTAAAAGATTAAAATCAATTGTCTAGGTGCACCTACTAAATAGCCAGACATCTAGAGATGGGGGGGGGATATTTTTCTGTTATTCAGAATGAATGTGAACAGCTTTGTGCTTTTTGTCATGCTTTGTTTGTTTTTTTCCATTACAGTGTATTCAATCTTTTATGTCTTTATGGCAACGTTAACCGCGTTAAATTTCTCCGTAGTAAAGAAGGTTCAGCCATGGTTGAAATGGCTGATACTGATGCTGCTCTCTGCGTTATCAGAAACTTTTCAGGCGTTTCCTTTATGGGTAACCAACTGATGGTAAGTTTTTAGCATGACGTTGCGTCACACATTCTCGATTAATTGTCTCTCTTGTATTATTATTATTTTTTTTCACATATTCACATATTCATCAGAGGTATGCAACACAGACAGTGGCAAAGTTCGCTGGTGATTTGTAGTAGTGGTAGTTGTAGTATATCATTGACATGAAATTGTGCTAACTATTTTTGTCTCACTTATCATCAACTATAAATTTGTGTGCAACAAAACTTTAATGAGTATTGTTCTCAGAATATATCTTATGAGCAAATTGGATATAACAAACTTCGAAAAAATTTTAACTCAATAATTATTTCATATAGTGAGGTAAAAACACTCAAAAAATAAGAAAGTGTATTGACTCCAGCTTTCAAATCACTGAGTAATAGTGGGGAAAAAAATTGGTATGAAAAATAATATAAGACTCAATCAAAACGAATTAATAGTGTAATGAAATATTCATCATATAAGGGATTAATGTTTACACAACCTTCCAGTTACTTCGGTTTGAATGTTGGGAGAATGTACCAGTATACAGGAGCCAAAGATTGATAAACACTTGCTACCCTTATTATAAGTGATATTTCATTGCTTCTTGAAAAATACCTAAAATAATATTGATCAGTCGACTGAACTAAAACACTATTCAAATTTCACAGTTACGTCTCCGTCGTGATTAATTAAAAGAATTACGTGTGTTGGCAACAGATCCCTGCTGTAACACCAGACTTTTATCAAATGATTCAAATTTTCTTTGGAAAAGTTGTATGTGAATCACGGTGTTTAGATTCGATTGGTGTAAGATTCATTTATAAGACAAGTGGGTTATAATAATAATAATTTTTGCTTTATTCCAAAAACAGTACTAACGATACAGCAAGGAATTTTCAGCATTCAGTACAATATTGCATCTAATTTATTCAAAAACGACAAAAAATAAACATTACATAATAATAATAACAAAACGTTGTTATAACAGTTATGTAGGAAATTACGGAAAGTGATACGGAGGAAAATATGCATAAAGTATAAAATTGTAGTAATAATTGTAATAACAACTAAAATAAAATAGCAAAGTTATAATTAAACGATAGAAAGAGTGGCACCATAAAATAACAGAAAGATGAACAATGAAAGGGTCGATTCACTTTGCTAATTACATAGTAACTTATATTTTTCACGTCTAACAGTGTCTTCATCACATAAAATACGGGCTAAATACAGTATTGTAGAATTTTGTACTTAGTGGTTCGAGCATATAACTTTTATATTGACTTCTCGTCCTACATGATGAGATGCAAGGGGATAGTTGTGAATAAAGGGGATGCAGGGGTCTGATAGTACGGCCTTTGCCGATTTTGTACAGGAATTTATGTGTCTCTCGACTATAGTATTGGCGAGCTCACGCATTGGCACACCACAAGCCCTATTCACAGCATTTAATACCCTTCGTAATATGATTATAGTCTTTTTTGAGAAGCCCAGGCAAGATTAATGGAGAGCAATAGAGTACAATAGGTAAAATACAGGAGTTTACAAACTGCAGAAGTAAAGGTTGGTTGATGCCTGATTGTCTAAACTTTTTAATGTAGAAGGCAAGACGAAACATTTTCTTAGAGATAGATAAGATGTGGGATGACCATGAAAGGTCAGAGGAAAGAACTAATCCAAGGTATTTAATGCTTGATTTGGTTTCAATTTCAGTACCATCTATGCTACAGGCATCATGGGAACTAACTAGATCATGTATGTCACGTCGATGCTTGAAAGTAAAGTTAACTAACTGCCTGACATTTGGAAGGATTTAACATAAGACCATTTGACTTAGACCACTTGTTGATGTCCAAAAGAAAGCTATTAAGTTTGGAGCAGTCAGACTCGGAAGTGATAGGCAGTGATACAGTCAGATCATCTACATATTTGACAAAGTTTCGTTTAAATGAGACAGGTCGCGTAGGAAGACAGAAAAAAGACAAGGAGAAAAACACTGGCTATTGTAAGCGAGGGAGAAGATTTGCCATTATATACAATATACTGCATTCTATCAGAAAAATAATACAACCAACTCTTAGCCCAGGATCCTGTTTGCGTCAACGAAAGCTTATTTAATAAAAGGCCCCTAAGTACAGAATCAAAAGCAGATGTGTAGTCTAGGAAAGCACCACGAACATATTTGGCACCTTTGTCTAAACAAGAAAGAACATCATGATATAAGACAACCACAGCATCCATGGTACTTCTACCATGTTTATATGCAAATTGTTTAGGATTATTAAAAGGTTTCAATGAAGGTTCAAGACGAAGTAAAAGTAGTTTTTCCATCAATTTTAAAAAAGCAGAAGTAATTGCAATACACCTAAATTTAATATCACCACCAGAAGATGTTTTTGGTATAGAGATAATTTTAATGTTTTTCCATGCAAAAGGTAGAACATTACTAGAAAAGGAAGCATTAAAATGTTAGTAAAAGGATAACACAAAATATCAGCACAGTTCCTGAGGACAATAGCAGGTACACCATCAGGACCAAGGCTTTAGGAAGGCTTAAGAGACCGGAGACATTTAAACACATCAAGGGTATTAAAACCACTAAAATTATTGTCTATATGATTTGTAGCATTAGGAAGGATATCGACAGCAGAGCGTATGAAAGACTTATACTTATTATACTCTTAAGAGTATCAACATTAAGAGATGGAACAGAAGTACATCGCTTACCGCTAGTAATTTCTTTGAAAAGTTTCCACAAACCGATTGATTGTCTTGACTTTAGCCAACTGTGCTCTGTTATAGTTAGTTAATTGCAATTAGTGACGTGAAAATCCAAAAAATCTGACTTGTTCATGGTAATTCAAAAAGCCAGTTGACCTATAAAGTTCGATACTCATCTTCAGGAAGACTCAGTGTTAAACAGACAGACAGATCAGTGAGATTCAGTGAAATAAAAACTACGGAATATAACAAGTTTTAATAAATCAGTATTACAGTTTTGTTTCTGGTAGTTTTCAATCTTTGTAAATGTTATGCACATTATACAATTTGACCAGACTTGCAAACTATACATTTTTCCTGCGTTGCCACAAATAAACCTCGAAAATTTGATTTCTTTCATATGATTCATATCGATTTCCTATATAGGTAATTCGATTCGCAACTGAATAATTCACACTTTTGGGAAAATTATTCTTAGGTGCCAACAATAATATACATAGCATACACCAAAAAGTCAAAATGAGAGTTTATTGATATAAGTATAAAACTTGGGCACTGTGGTTGGAGTATAACTCCATTATGGATAAGATTTTATTTTAATAAATCACACAGTGTTATACAGTAATATTAACTGATGACTACGTTTCGAGCACAAACTATTGCTCATAATCATATCAAGTTGATATCAACTTGAGTTACGTGCAGTAATAATTATAGGGTTATAATAATAATAATCATAACAATGAACTTCGTGTAATCCTTCTCTGTTCACTGCTTGCATAATATTTGTGCAGTATTGTTTTCAAACACAACTAAGAGTGAATTTAAAAGTATCGAACGTCTGCGTAAAGCTTTTTTAAAATCTTGCCTTCGTGTTTGTATATTATTCTGTAATGTAATCTGTAATCACGTATGACTTTTCGGGATTTTCTGTAGTCTGTTTATGTGAGAGTATTATCAGTCAAGCATCGAAGAGCCTGTTTGAGATGAATATTGTTTATCTCAAACTTCGATTCATTCTTTAATTTTTATTACCTTTCAAATGATATACCGTCAACTTGTCCTCTATTTCACGAATTGTCGTAGTTTGTCTGTTTTAGGATGTTCTTATTTGCTGACGTGTAAATCCATTGCATAGACGTTTGACAGAGTATAGTGTTATTTTGTTGCTCCTATGTCTTTGTTACGACTAAATTGGTGACTCCTCTTATTGTAGCATTCTTTCATATCCTTACCTTGAGATTCCCACACAACATCCATAGTGTATAACCTGGCATTACGTAACTCAGTTCCCAATAGAACTTTTTTGTTGATTTAGATGGTTGAAGGTAATCGGTCACAGAAGCCTTGGACCTAGGTTTCGTGCTAGTTTGCACTCACCACTCAGCAAGGCATATCTACAACCTTGAAGGAACTCATGTCCCTTCTGAGATTCGAACTCGCGTCACCCAGTGCTCAAGTCAGAGACGTTACCACTGAGCTATTCGCACTCGCGGTTGACCTCCTGTAGACTGTGGTAGATATTTTGATTTGACACTAGTAACTAGTGTGATGCGTCTAGTCCTCTGATTGGTGTAGACTGAATTCTATCAGTCAGGTTGTAATGTGGTCACCATTCTAGCTAGCTCACCATCACGGTGCACGTTGATTTAATGATATTAGATGGTTGAAGGTGATGGCGAGCTACCTAGAATGGTGGCCACATTACAACCTGAATGATAAAATTCAGTCTGCACCAAAGAAAGGACTATAGACACATCACACTAGTTACTAGTGTCAAATCAAAAGAACTTTTTTGTTTTAGCCCGATTCAATTGTCCTGATATTTTATTTATTTTGATTTTAGTATAATAGTGTTATCATGGTTTAGTGGTCGACTGTGCGAAATATAATTCATACGGTGATATAAGTCGACAACTGATTTTCCCAATTTCAAAAGTTAATTTCCTCTATATGTTTTATTATTAGCCACTGCCAGGTGAGAGTTCTAAGTTCTATCCACCCTAAATAGCGTTAAACCAGAAAAACTAATTAGCACGTCTTTATGTATGTAATAAATTTGAATTTGTTCACTTTTTGCTCATTCACTCTTAAGGTGTTTTGAGTGTATTTTATCGTAAATAATATCTAGTAATCGTAAAAAAAAACTAGATCTTTTATAGCCAAGTCGTATTTCCAGTGGATGACAACTATAGTCCAATTTAATATGATGACTCATTTCACCTAGATTTCTCTAAATTTTTAATCACTCAGTCTCCTTTATCGCCTATACATCTTATTCCATTTGATTTTCAGGTACGGACTAGTAAACAAGACGTTATTTTGGATGTTTCTAGTCCATTTCAGTTGCTCGATGGTTCCCCATCTTTTAAAGATTATAGTAAGGATCGAAATAACAGATATACTACACCTACTATGGCTAAAAAGAATCGCATTCATCCACCTTCACGTACTTTGCATTACTGGAATGCCCCACCTAAAATAACTGTTGATGATATATTAGAGTTTCTGCAAAAATGCGGAGCTGCGAAACCTCAGTACGTTCTCCTATTTTATTTTAATATACACAAATATTCACTAGATCTTGCACAAGTCTCATTTTGAGACTATACCATAGAGTATAGACAAGTGACTAGTCACTCATCTTATTACTTACTTTATGCCAAATTGTTAATAACTAAACTAATTGGGGGGTTTCCTAACCTTGAATTTTTGTATGACCTAGTCTAATAGAAGATAAAGTATTGCACTTTGAATTCACGTTAAGTGGAATGATTTCGGTCAATCGACTTTCCTTGGGTTATTGGTTTGGTGGTGGAGTCTGTGCAGGTAAATTCCATTGAGTAGTGAATACGTTACAATTAGAGAGTGTTGTAAAAGTACTAAATCAACCAATCAAATCTCGCGCTCATGCCATCAGGTTAGAGCCTATAGCGTCTGAAGTGGCATAAACCCTTAGTGTTCTACAAAGAGTAATCATTGTCAATATCTTATTTAAGTTTATTGTAGTCATGTTATTAGTTTTCAAACATTCAGGAGATGACGCGGTAGAGGATGAGTATTCTTTAAAGTGACATATTTTTTGAACGTTCTGTTCCATGACACCACACCACTAAGTAACAGTCTGTCAGTGTGAAACTTTCATGGCTATGTTGACTGTCTGGCTGGAATTGTCAGAATTCTAAAAATCAATAGCTGGAAGTTATTTGTGATTTTTTCGTGATCGTGATCATTTGCTCACTTTTTACTGTCATTGGAGTTCTGTACATTTTCTTCAGTCTGCATTTAACTATTTCATTCCTACAATATTGTTGTCTGTGGTGCGGTATTCTGTGTCCTTTTTCGAACTGTGGCAACGTGACTCGTGGTGTTCCATGTTCCTTAGTCATGAAACGAAAACAAGATGGTGGCTTATATACTAGCATTTATAGGAAACCGACACACTAATAAATACGTAAACTTTAATTTATTCCATCCAGAATCATTAAATACTGGTTTATTTAAATGTCTATATGATCGGGTCAAGTGCTTAACTAGTAAATCAGAAGACTTAAATAATGAAATCAAACAAATAAAGGAAGTATTACTAGTGAATAGCAACTCACCAGAGTTTATTCAAAACTATACGAAGAACCATAGAAAAAATTAGATCAGTAACGGAAATGACAAAATATAGAATTCAAAGCCTCTCTAGCACTGTCTGCCGTTTAAATAAGGAACGTGAAAGGCATTATGTAGGATTCTGAATGAGACTGGAATTAGTCAGGTTGGTATTTCAACCCACCACCCAAATCTCTCAGAGATAAATCTTGTGGACTTAAGGACCCGATTGATCCAATTAAGGAAAATAATATGATTAACCAGGTACCCTGTGAGGTCAATTACATAGGTCGAACTAGTAGAGTGGAGGTCAATTAGATTATTGGAGCATAAAAATTTAGCTAGGGATAGAATGATTGACCCTGGTGAGTTAGCCTGTTAAATAACGTAGAATAAAGCGTAGCCATTGCAATGCATTGCATTCACTTCCCTGTAACCACATACAATAGTGTGAGGCACGTGCTGTCGGAATGACGCAACGCCATTCTCGGATGTATGGGAAGTGGCAACAAACAACACGGGCAAGAGGGAGAGAGTGGAAATATATGTAAGGCAAATTACGAAGCCGTGTCACTTAACTGATATGATTATGAGTAATAACTTATATTCGAAACGTCATCTAGTTATTAATACTGCAGCATTATGTCTCTTGAGGTTCTACCATGCCAGGCAGGTTGTTTGGATAGCGGTTAAACAAAAAGCAGCTACCCAATCCAACATCATGTCCAATACAAAATTACAAAATTTCATGCCGGATCGGCCGTGGCCCGGATTAACAACGACCGCGCTTCCTGCTGCCGTGTCACAGGGCGGGAGTGATAAATCTGCTACTGAGACACACCAAACAAAAAGAACAAACAAAAACAGGCCGCGTGTGACCGGCCTCAAGCAGTTGTCCCCTGGGCTCTGCGGTCACGCAACCAACTTCCACGGTGTGGGCAGCCGGGAAGTAACAATCGCCCTCACAATCCGAAATGCACACGAAACCTCTCTATTACTCACTCATCTTTGTCTTCATCTTCATCTCTATCATCTTGCCTTCCTTCCACTGATGCAACTCCTCGACTTGATAGCTCTCCACTTCCTCTCCACTCTGCGTCCACTAAAAACGATGGAAGCCAAAAAACCACCACCGACAGCCTCTTAAAGCCGCGCCACCAATTTCATATAGGAGCTCTTAATGTTAGGACACTTTGCCAAATAGGACAACAAGCATCACTAGCCAAGACCCTGGCATCACGAGCCATTGATGTATGCTGTGTTTCAGAAACACGCATACAAGACCCAAGTGTGGTTATTCACCTAACCCCACCTGGCCAACAGGTTGAATCTGCAAAATTCACCTTGAGGGTGTCAGGAGATGCCACAGCTAGTTCACGAGGATTAGCTGGCGTAGGGATAGCTTTGAGTACTAGGGCAGAAAAGACATTGCTTGACTGGATCCCGGTAGATAGCCGAATGTGTGCTGTCCGCCTGAACGGATCAGTAAGAAGGAGGAAGGACTGCACTACTCGCCGATGCCTTTTCGTAATCTCCGCCTACGCCCCCACTGACTGCAGTTCAGATGAAACGAAGGATGAGTTCTACCAAAAGCTGTCTAGTTTGGTGAGAAAGGCTAAACGCTCAGACATAGTCGTTCTAGCTGGTGACTTTAACGCTCAAGTAGGGAAATTGTGTCAATCTGAGAAGGATGTCGGTGGCACCTATGGAGTTCCGTGCCAGCGAACCGACAACGGTGACCGTCTCCTACAGTTCTGCTCTGATAATCATTTGTTTCTTGTAAGCACTAACTTCAAACACAAGGAGAGACACTGTTTGACTTGGAGACCCCCTTCATCAAACCAACGCTGGACACAAATAGACCACATAGCAATAAGCTATCGTTGGCGTGGGTCGGTAGGAGATTGTCGCTCCTTCTGGAACACGTGCGTAGATACCGACCATGCACTGGTCCGCGCTCGGGTGTGCTTACGACTGAACGGACGTAGGAAACAGCTGGCGGTAAAACCATCACGTCCCCAGCTCGATCAGGAAACTAAATCCGTATTTGAGGAAGAACTAGCTAAACACATATCTGTGTTCGACAGCTGTGCTCACCCTGAAGAAGCTTGGAAAAATATCCAGGCAGCCATAGATACAGCTGTAAAAGCTGTGAATAAGGTAAACCCAAAGGTGAGTAAAAACCACTGGATCTCCACCGCCTCATCCGAACTGATAGATGCTAGAAGACTTATTCCGGCGAGCTCCGAATTCAATGAGGAGCGAAAGCTGCACAAGAGGAAACTTACGAAAAGTCTCCGCAAGGACCGTGAACAGTGGTGGGCGACAAAAGCCAAAGAGATGGAGAAAGCTTCGAGGATAGGCAACACCAGGCAACTCTTTGGACTCATCAGGGAAACGGGTGGGAGAAGACAAATCATTAGTGAGACAATCTCGGAAAAAAATGGCACTATAATTAGCTCACAGGATAGACGACTGGATCGTTGGAAAGAGCATTATGAGGAGCAGTTTAATTTGCCCACAGCCACGCTCAACCTTCCGAGCATCCAACACCTCCCTGAATGGGATATAGATACAGGTCCTCCGTCACTAACTGAGGTTACTAAAGCTGTCACCAATCTGAAACTAGGCAAAGCAGCGGGACCTGATGGAATGACTCCAGAGGTATTTAAGTACGGTGGAGACAGCTTACTGTCCGGATTAACTGAGGTACTAGGCAGCGTCTGGGAATCAGAAGAAGTCCCATCGGGTTGGTGTAAGTCACTGATTATCCCCATATACAAGAAGGGAGACAAGTCTTCCTGTGATAATCACAGAGGGATTAGCTTGACTAATATAGTATCTAAAGTCTTAGGCTCAATAATCATGCGTAGACTGAGTGGTGCTCGGGAAGCACAAACACGAGAGAGCCAGGCAGGCTTTAGACCAGGAAGAGGGTGTATTGATCATATCTTCACCCTCCGACAGATTCTAGAACATAGGCATTCCTACCGGCGTCCAACAGTCATTATATTTCTTGACCTAAAGGCAGCATTCGACTCTGTCGATCGGGAAGTTCTCTGGAGATGCTTGGCTGTAAAGGGAATTCCGAGAAAATATATTGCACTGATTAAGGCACTCTACTCGTACTCATACAGCCAGGTGAGGGCTTACGGCGAGCTGTCATCTGAACTGATGACGACCAGTGGTGTCCGTCAAGGATGCCCATTATCTCCTTTTCTATTCAACTTCATCATAGATGTGTTAATGGACTTAACCCTAGGTGACTTCAGCGACTCAGGGATTGACTTGCTACCTGGGAATAATCTCGTTGACTTGGAATATGCAGACGATATAGTCCTTCTAGGCGAAGACGCTGACGAAATGCAGAGTCTTCTAAACACCTTGAACCGCAATCTACGAATGTTTGGCATGCGATTCGCTCCCGCCAAATGCAAGATGATGTTACAGGACTGGACTACATCGACGCCTAGTTTAAAAATAGGAAGTGAAGTGGTAGAGCACGTTGACCGCTTCACTTATTTGGGAAGTACCATCAGCCCCAACGGGCTGATCTCTGACGAAATCTCAGCACGAATACAAGGGGCTCGTTTCGCATTTGTTAGTTTACGCCGACTCTGGCGTAGACGAGATGTTCGACTATCGACCAAAGGGCGGGTGTACTGCTCATCAGTCCGCTCCGTCCTCCTTTATGGTTGTGAGACCTGGCCACTGAGAGTGGAAGACATGAAAAGACTAGCTGTCTTTGATCATAGGTGCCTGCGTTCTATTTCCCGTGTAAAGTGGCATAATAAGGTGAGCAACATGGAGGTTAGGCGTAGAGTTCTAGGTAAACAGGGGAAATCAATCGACGAAGTCGTGAAGCTACATCGACTGAGATGGTTAGGACATGTGTTACGTATGCCAAGCCATCGCCTCCCTCGACGAGCAATGTTAGCGGATATAGGGTCAGGCTGGAAAAAAGCTAGCGGCGGTCAAACAAAAACTTGGCATCAGTCAATGAAATCCACAACAGTTGGTCTAAGCCACGTAGGAAGGTGTAGACTTCCAGGCTGGGGTCCTCGGGACGGTAAAAATCTATGGTTGGAAACAATTGGTGACATGGCTCAAAATCGTTCTCAGTGGCGCAGATGCATCCACTCCCTGTGACTTATGATCTTCAATGAAACTGTTTTGTATTTCTTTATTACTCCTTTGTCTCACACCTCTGCTCACTGTTTCTATTTGCTTTTCTTGTACTTTCTTCTCTTGCTTCGCGTGCTACACGGAATGTGGCGACTTGAACTTCCGCACATTTGTGCAAAGTTCTATGTCGAAAACAGACAGACAGACAGACAGCTGTGTGATATTTAAAGCAAACTTGCCTAATATGTAATTACATTCTACCACAGTGCTGAAGTTTTACACTCACTTCAATATTGTTGTCTGTTGCGGTATCATCACACTTGTATTCTGTGTCCTTTTTCGAACTATGGCAACTTTATCCGTGGTGTTCTATGTTCATTAGTCAGTTGTTCCCAATTAAATACCATTTTTGGAGTTGAATCCATATTTTAGGTTCCTCATAATTGTGAACCTATAGTCTTTTGTATCTGACTTTCTTGATTTCCAACTATTTTACTGGATAATTATACTAGTGCTAATTTTTTCTGTTGCTGTGCTATTTTGAGGTATGTCAACTTCAGTCTAGTTCTTACCTCTTAACCATGTAAATCGGTAAACATAGTGAGACGTAAAACTTTCGTTCTGATGCTCTAAGGATTTACTGGTCCATTCCAGTTTAAAAAGGTGTTAGGTGCTTGTTCAAACCTATTCAACACATGTGTATAGAGGATGCCATTGAAGAAGAAATACAAAGCCATCATAAAATATTATTAGATTATAACTATCCCCTGAAATTCATTAAGCGCTATAGAAGACTCAGACACTCAACAGAACTTACTATGCAGTTAAATTCATCTCCATAAAGAAAACGAAACTGTCACATCCCACTATGTTTATCAATTCACATATATGTATGGTTAAACGTACATGGGGAGGACCCGTAAATCTCTGCATGTCAGGGCTACAGAACACTTCCCTAAATGACGGGAAGAACAAATAAAATCACATCATCTAATTAATCCAAGGAATAGTTGTCCACTGTCATCTATCGCAAAGCACGTCATAGAGACAGGTCGTAAAGTTGATCGAACTAGTGCTTTTTAACTCATACGTAAAATAGATTTGGGTCATATGCTTAAATTTGTTAAAGTCTTGACCATAGAAAAGCTTAAACCTATTTTATGTCTTCAAAAATTGTTTGTTAATACTTAGAACCTACCTTGGAAATCCAATTTTAGGGCTATGGTTCACTTTACTTATTGATATTTTCACTCTTTTTTTACCTCATTTTCCCACCTCTTACCTGTAATCGTGATCCGTAAACGTTTTGACCTGTGTGATCCTTTATACTCTGTTGCTCTCTTATATAAATATGTATGACAAGTACTTGTGTTATCCAAATGTCCGAAATGTGTTTGCGCAAATACACATTACACACCTACGAATGTTTGGCATGCCATCGCTCCCGCCAAATGCAAGATGATGAGGCTACAGGACTGGACTACACTGACTCCAGTTTAGAAATAGGGAGTGAAGTGGTAGAGCACGTTGTCCGCTTCACTTATTTCAGAAGTATCATCAACCAGTGCCAACGGGTTGATCTCTGGCAAAATCTCACACGAATACAGAGGGCTAGTTTCGCATATGCCAGTTTACGCCGTCTCTGGCGTAGATGTGATATCCGGCTGGGTATAGACGAAAGGGCGGGTGTACTGCTCACCAGTCCGCTCCGTCCTCCTTTATGGCTGGATGTAAGACCTGGGCAAGACATGAAAAGATTAGCTGTCTTTCATCATGGTGCCTGAGCTCTATCTCCCATGTGAAGTGGTATAATGTGAGCAATATTGAGGTAAGGCATCAGTTGAGTGCTAGGTAAGGAGGGGAAATCAATCGACGAGGCTGTGAAATCACATCGACTGAGATGGTTAAGGACATGTGTTACGTATGCATCCCTAGTCATCGCCTTCCCCGACCGACAGGCAATGTTAGCTGACATAAGATTGGTCAGGCTGGAAATGAGCTACCGGCGTTCAAACCAAAACATGGCCTCACTAGTCAATGAAATCCACAACAGTTAGTTTAAGCCAGCTAGTCACGTAGGAAGGTGTAGACTTCCTGGTTGGGATCCTCGGGACTCCAAAAACTAATGGTTGGAAGCACTTGGTGATATGGCTCAAAATCGTTCTCAATGGCCGGCGAAGATGCATCCAATCTTGTGACTTATGATTTCCAATGAAACTATATTGTTTTTCGTTATTACTATTCCTTTGTCTGATATCCCTGTTACTACCTCTACTTCCTTCTCATGTTTTGTGTACCATGGAGTGTGGCGACTTAAACTACCGCACATATGTGCAAAGTTCTATGTCGAAAACAGACAGGCAGACATTACACGTCTTGTTGTTTTCTCGAAATTCATAAAAGCAACTCCTTGGTTCAAATTTCCGAAAATAATAGTTAACCGTGATAGTAAAATTCACATTATTGCTTATATTCTAGGTTTGTTGTATTAGGTAGACATATTTCCTCGAATGAGAACAACTGAATATCTGATTTATAGTGAATATTCGCTAGTCGTGTTTCTTCGTATAAATTTACCAAGTGATATCATGTGTCAGCTCTGAGTGTTGTGTTTTGAAAGATCACTATGAACTATTGCTTGAATTACATTCAAAATTTAGTTTAAATTCATACTTTTCAAAATCTCATAAAAAAATTCATACACTAATGGAGAAATAATTTCCCTTTTTTTGCTACTGTTAGCTACGTATTCGATTTCATAATTGTACCCGTGAAATCTGTTAATGTTTTACAACTTTTAGACATGTTGAACAATTCTCAAAAGTTCCGGATAAACCATCATCTGGTACTATTAAATGGGCCACCGATGCAGAAGCATGTGAGGCCCTGGCCTACTGTAATCATCTGGCACTAAAAGATGACGAATCTACACATCCGTATACTATTAAACTATCATTTGCGAATCCCAATTTATCTTCTGAACCAATCCATGTGGGAAGTCATTCAAATGGCAGTGAGAATGGAGGTGATCATATAGATTCATCTTAGTGAGTTATATTGTTATGATTATTAGTTATATCTGTGACTGTCTGTGATTGATTAATTTTGAACTGTGCTATTGAATGCATGAATGTCAAATCTAAGAAAAATTAAACTTTTTATGAAGGAAGATACTGTCATTACATGTTATTTTCATGGAACAGAATATGACATAGCTTCGCCTTTCAAAATTATAACCACTCAATCATGAATTTGTGCATCGGTGGCACAGTGGTTAAGATGCTCGCCGACCATACACATGGTCCGGGGTTCGATCCCGGCCGACGAACTCCTTTACCTCGCTAAGCCAGAAATAATGCTGGTAAAGAGGAGAGGTTGGGCATTAGGCTAGCAACACCATCCTGTAAAATTAAACACTGCTACAGAAACTTCAAGCCACTAGCTTGAGGCCCTATGTTCCACTGGGAACGTGAAGGAAAAAAATCATGAATTTGGTCACATTTACAATGACAAATATTCATCTGTATGACTATTCCAGGCTTGTTTGACTGTGTTATTTAGGAACTAACTATAGCTATTTTCAAAACCAGTATAAATATTTTACCAACATTCGGTTACATTTTTATATACGAAGGGAAGTTTCTGACATTCCTTCCTTTTTTATGCACTCTCTTAGTGGCCTATTATGTAGTGTGTCCATACTCCAATCAGTCAACTCCCATATCGATGATTTCTTGTTGTTGTTGTTGTTAAACTGCCTTTATTTAAAAATAAGCACGTTCAGAAGTGGTTAGGGGGGAGTAGTGGTAAAGTCTCTGAGAAGAGAGAGAGTGATGTAAATTCCAGTGTTTCAGAGAATGTGAATGTCTGCATACCGTTATAGGATAAGTGCCAACAGATAGATGTGCGTTGGCGTCACAGCGGTTAGGACTTTCGCTGATCATGTACATGGTCCGGGGTTCGAGTCGACTCACACCTGATATCTATGGTCGGCTACCGATATCACATGCTGAAAATTCCATACTCGTACCAAAAATACGGTGTGGAATCAAGCTATAATAAAAAAATAAATAAAACGTGAGTCCAGCGAGTTTTTGGTTGCCCAGCTCTTATCATCTTACACAGAAAACAAAATTACCCTGTTGTTGTGCAATGCAAAGCAGTGTTGCATCTCATTTCAGACTTGATGAATAGATTTCACGCAATGTTTTCAACTACTAGTAAGCTATGTTTGTTGGCATCTAGCCTACAGTATATGTAAAATTTAGAATTTAGATTTTTGCTGTTGGCTTTATACGAGTTGATCACGGATTGATATCAGTTAGAGAACCATTGAAAACCAGGGAGTACTGGACAGCTGCGGTTTCATCCTAGTTTGGGATCATCGGCAGTACGCACCCACGCTACAGGGTTCGAACCCAGGACCTTCCGGTTACAAGGCAAGCTCATATACCATTCAGCCACTGGGACCGATTCAATGCCTCATGAATTCTAACTTCCACCAATTCGTGATTTAGCTGCGTACTGCCGATAATTCCCAAACTAGGATGAAACAGCACCTGTCCAGTACTCCAGTGCTGGTTTTCAATGGTTCTCTAGCTGATATCAATCCGTGATCAACTCGTAAAAACATAACAAACCCTTACAAACCAAACTATAGAAAAGTTGTCTCTATAGCTTTTCGACCGATTGTGTTTTCGAATATTTCAACTCGAATGATGAGTTCTCTTTTTACTGTGATATGTTGTTTGTCACTACGGTGAGATTTTAGTTTGAATTACGCTTTTTATGTAGGCAATACACACTGTAAAACTAAATGCATTTATAGAGGTATATTTACCATCAAAATCATCCGCAGCAAAATAATCACATTCATAATTAAATTTACTTTATTAGAAATCATTCCACATGCATCAATGCTTTCATCTCAGTGATCATTATCATCACAGTTAATACAATTGAACATGCCATCATCATCATCAGTCAGCACGGCAACTTGCACAGGATCTGTGAAATATTATTCCAATTATGCAAATATGTAGTACTGACTACTTTGTTTTTTAAAAATGTGTTTCTGTCTTATAATATCTTTGTTCACCTTTATTTTTTCTCTTTCTTTCCTCTAACGCAAATTATTATATACTTATGAAGTATAAATGATTTCATTTGTCTTGTTTTTTTTTTCAAATGATAATATCTTTACTGTTTTCTTTTTGTCAAATATAATAAATAGTATTGCTTCAATTCCATTTTTCTATTACACTCACGCACGCACGCACTCCCACACACACACACATGCACAAACACACTGTCACTGAGTATGGAGCATTTTTCTATGTCTATGTGCACATCATGGCATGGCATGAAAACTAGATTTTCTCATACTGTGCTTAACGAGTAGTTCACTAGACAGTGACTCTGTCTTCTCCACTGACTGACTGATTGCTCTTGTTGCAGTTTTCCCACTAGGCACATAAAGCCATATTATCGCAGTCAACTGATACGTACATACGAGAAAAAAAATTAAAATGATTTCTTTGGTTACAGGATTTCATCATGAGATGACATTGGTTAGAGAACCACTGTCTGTCTGTCTGTCTGTTTTCGACATAGAACTTTGCACAAATATGCGACAAAACAATAAGAAGACGTAGTTTATCTGAAACGTGTAATATATTGGCGCAACATATTTCGGACATTCTGATCACACACGTACTTGTCATACACAGTTTTTATATAAGGCAAGAAAGCATGACCTGTACACAATCTGACCTGTATTGTAATTATTCATGCTTTCTTGCCTTATATAAAAACTGTGTATGACAAGTACGTGTGTGATCAGAATGTCCGAAATGTGTTGCGCCAATACATTACACGTTTTAGATAAACTACGTCTTCTTATTGTTTTGTCGAAATTCATAAAGGGAACCAATTGCTTTAAATGTGCGACAGTTCAAGTCTCCACACTCCCTCCTTGTAGCACACAAAGCCAGAGAAGAAAGTACAAGGAAAGCATAATGGAGACAGTAAGCAGAGGTGTGACAAAGGAAGAGTAATAACGAAGAACAATATAGTTTCATTGGAAATCATAAGTCACAAGGAGTGAATGCATCTTCACCGGCCATTGAGAACGATTTTGAGCCATATCACCAATTGTCTCCAACCATTAGATTTTACCGTCTCGAGGACCCCAGCCAGTCAGGAAGTCTATACATTCCCACGTGAGTGGCTTAAACTAACTGTTGTGGATTTCATTGAGTGGTGCCAAGTTTTTGTTTGATCTCCGCTAGCTTTTTTCCAGCCTGACCAGTCTGAGAACCACTGGACAACCAGTTGGAAGTACTGGACAGCCATCTGTTTCGTCCTAGTTTGGGACTCCTCGGCAGTACGCACCCACCGCTAGGGTTCGAACCCAGGACCTTCTGGTTACAAGGCGAGCTTCTAGACCACTAATCCACTGGGACCCGATTCAATGGCCAGTGCATGAATTCTAACTTCTGCCAATTCACGATATAGAGCAACCGCTAGCCAATGTTTTAAAATGATTTCATTACTAAGTTGAACAGCAACATATTTTGTGAATCTGTTGTTCTGTTTGAAAGGTGTTGTTTTTTGGAAAAAAAGATTTTATGATGAAGAAGTTAGCAGATAGTTCTCTCAGTGAAAACTTGGAATTTTAAGTTAATTAAATCAGTTGGTTCCCAGTACCGTACTCTCTTGTAATAATGATTTCCAAGGAATTTGTCTATAACACTATTGATAGCATAAATTTATTGACATCCACCTTCATTTCAGCTGTTATGTAATCTGTGTGAAGTATTTCTAACTTCTAAGCTATGTGTTTATTGGCAACGCTTTCATTTATATGAGGTTAAAATGTCTATATCTCGATCACTAATAATAAGAGCTGTTTTGTTTTAGGCTTCAAACTTCACGTATAGTTGTTTTAACCGTTAGTACTGTGTTCATATATATATACACCTAACTGGAATTTTGTTTCTCACTCCACTGTTAAAAAGTTATGCTCTGGAGCAACAGTTTATCGCCAGAATATTCGATGAATAGTAATTTCGAGATAATTTCAATTGTGATTAACTTTTTTTAAAAACTGTTCAAATCATTAGTCAATACTATATTTTACCTTTAATCCGGATTGACATTCCCATGCAGTAAAACTTTCTTATAGCTAATGCATGCTTTTCTACCCTAGGTATTTAAGAATTTAATGCTATTGTGTTGCGTGTAAGATAGGTAAGATGGTCACTATGTCGGTGAGATTAACTTTGAAACATCTCTGATTATGTTTTTTTCTGTTGTGTGGTTGACTTTTTGTAATGAAAACGAGTTGTTACAACTGAGAGTGGGTGGTAGACTTTGGTCCTCCCCAAATACTGTCATGTGGTCACGCGTTCAAACCTTACGCTATGTAAGTTTTATTCACGGCAAGACTGTTCCTCACAAAGTGAGGGACGAATTCGAACATCTGGTGCTTACAACCGGACTGGTGTGTATAAACTGGTCTATCTAAGGTGTGCTGGAAAACCCTCATTCCAAACTATGGTGTACATGGGCTCCAAAATCATAATGGATGGAATGTTGTGTGAACCTGGTTTGGTCATCGAAGATCATGGGAGCGCAGCTCTCGTGACGCTTCTCTTCCACTGCTTTGTGAGTGAGACTTCAAATCAAAGGTTTGAGGGTGACTATTTAAGACAACTACCTTCCTCAGTTTAGGCGTCCGGATAGTATCCCAACCTTGCATAAACTATGACGTTTCGTGTGACTCATCTTTTTGTGCCCATAATGTACCAACTTTGTGTTACGATAACAATTTAATGAAAACGAGAAATATTAATCATGAGCGTCAATATTTTAAACAGGATACATCTCTTTCTCTCAAAAGGTGATTGAGATTTCAACGGAAACAGATCGTCTTATGTTTAGCCACTCAGTTACTTACATTTGAAGTTTTTAAGATATTTGTCATCATAATTAGTCTAAGTCCTTTGATTTTCAAGTATTAGTTTTGTAGGGATTTTGTTTGATTGCATGGAGGATTTCATCATGAGCTGACCATTGAATCGGGTCCCAGTGGCTTAATGCTACACGAGCTGGCCTTGTAAGCAAAAGGTCCTGGGTTCGAATCTTATCGGTGGGTGCATACCGGTGAAGAGTCCCAAACTAGTGGGACGAAACAGCTGTCCACTACTCCCAGGTTTTCTTCAACTGATGCCAGCTCATGATGAAATCCTCCATGCAATTAAATCCCTTTGACGCGATTTTCCATCATAGAGGTTACTCCTTTTTATCAAGACTGAGAAATTTAATTTTCCGTGAAAACTAATCGAAGTTTTGGTGATATCTCAACTTTCTCTGCTTCACTAAGCTTGTTATGTGGCGTGCAGGTAATGCCTGTAAATTTGTTCCATTATTCACTGAGTATATATATATATAGCCCGTTGTGCACGATGAACACACTAACAATCGCTTCATTTTAATCTAACAAAAACAACTCATTGTTTCAATCTGTGCTGGGAAAAATATGCATCAGACAGTTAACATACAAAAATAGGAAGCAAATTGACTGTACATTAACCAACAGGTTGAATACATTATAGTAGATATCTATTAAACTAAATTCAAAGAAAGCCTCGATTTTTGCAATCTCAATGTTTCTTACCGAAGGTGGTTGTGTTTCTCAGTTGTTCGAGAGTATATATGCATAACTTCTTATAAAAGCAAAAATTTGTTCTAATTGGGAATAAATTCGACAATGTTTCGTGCTGTTTGTTCAATCAAGTTAAGTCAGCAGGAGTATTTTAATTATTCATAAATTATATTTCAAGTAATATACGACGTAAATTGACCAATTCACTATATATAACCTTGTACTTGAAAGAGGAAAATAATTGACTTCGCGTGATCCTCAGAATCGAGGTGAGGACTGCTTGAAACGAGTCTCACATGGCTGTTGTGGGCAAAGTGGGTCGAGATATATAATTACACCGTCAGACTATTCTTACTCTCCTTTCAAGGGTTAGAATGTCATGTAACTGGCCTGGCCTGATGGTTGTTCGTCTAATAGCATTTTGGTGCTATTACTTCATTATGTGAAAGATAGAGTAGTATGACTCTCCATCATAGTTTGGGCAACTTTCCCTGCATCTTTTTGTTTTTAACCACTATTCATCTACTTTGCTGAACTGATAGGATTTGTAAGAATATATCTTCTGAGATGGCATAGCGTGTTGGATGAATGCTTTACATGAGCTCAACCACTTCATGTCAACAGGTATCTTTCTGGTTTGTCGATGGACTAGAAAAGTTATATTTGTGTCAATTTCAGCTGAAGGAGGTTACAGCCCCCGGAGGTTAACAACCAAAAAAAAAGAAATCCTATGTAGGGAAAATGATTTGTTGGGAACAACTCAGTTGTTCAGTTCGCGTGCATTCAAGTGTAAACACTGTCAATTCACATTGTGGTGTGTGCTACTGATAAGATTTATTAGTAGTATATGTGTGCAGAGAGATGTTCATCGGCAGAAAAATATCAAGTAGTAGGGAGATAGATTTGATGTCAGAGAAAACAAATGATACGGCGTTGCGGAGATACATAGAAGACGTGAAAGGAACATAAAAGAACACACAATATGAAGGAAGGGCAGAAGTAGCACAACACAGAAGATGGTGCGTTGAAGATAAGGTGTACATAATTTGACTGTGTAGAGAGATACCAAATTGCAAATTAATATTCCTTTATCAAGTCTCTCGTGCCCTCTACCGCTTCAATATGAAGAAATAGTAGAAACTAATGCTGAAACATGTAAAGCAATATTTTACATCCGTGTGATATACTCACGACGTGAGTTACATAACTTTGTGATCTTGCTGATTGAGTAAGCTTTCAAGACCATCATCAGCTTAGTGTTTTTAAAGTGACTGGGAGAAACAGACACACGACAAGAGGAAGAAACCTGTACAGACGTATACCTGAAGATTTGTCTTGTTTGATACGTTTGAAAAAAGCCTGATTGGTTCTGACTAGTGTGTTTATGTACTGTTCTTTCCTGGAGATTTGAAATTTTGATTACAAGGATTTCGTTTTTCTTCTATACACCACATTCAGTGCTCACTGCATAATTAAAACACCCAGCTCGGAGAACTCAACAATATAAGCATCCACTTGTGAGCTGTAATTCTTCATCATTTTAAACTGAAGTGTAGGTGATTACCAGTCACATACTTATATTTTAATCAGAAACTCAGTTAACTCCTAGTAATGAGAGACAAATACTTTGAAAAGAAACGCAGGGAGGAGAAATAAAAGATGTGAGCAGCATAATAGAACATTTAAGCATACTTATCAGGAGCTGTGGGAAAGCGTTCATTACTTCATATTAATTTCAGAACTATAGGAATATTTGTAAATGTCTTCAATACTGAATGGTACTTAAAAACGTCTCGATCATCTGCATTGTGTGATCTCGTGGAGCAAACCAAATGATGCCTTGGGCACTACGTCATGGACTGACTGCCCTATTTTTCCAGCTTATCCGATGACTAAAGAACAGCTGCACATTCTCAAGCAATTGCAATCGATATCTCAAGGTGACATCACTTGTTCGA